CTCCATTCTTATTTATTATTTGTTACCGAAATTTTGTCATCCTCCATATTTACATTTCTCGTTCTTTGTATTTTGTGTATGGAATCTCGCGAAATAGTCTTAAAATAAAATTTTGTAAAAGGGAAAATAATTTCGAAGGGGTAAATGTTGGCACGTTTATATATTAATCGTTAATTCTCGAATTTTTAAATCGTTATGTAAATGTCGCGAGAAAGAGTACGATGCTTTTATCGCGATTAAAAATTATTCGAAAAATTCTAGATTCGAATGATATTAACTCTGGACTATATCTTTCACCAGGCACTGACGCATCGCTGCGAATTAATTTAATTTTCGTGGACGATAAAAGCTTTCAATTCCTTCAAAAATTCTCGCATCCTCGCGCACGTATAACGAGAAACTACGGACGGTAGCGTTTTTAATTTCACCATCGAGCATCGTCGTCAATTTCAAGACAGAACTCGCACTGAAACTCGCGAGAGTATCTCGCCGTTGATATTTTTACGCTTTCGCTGCACTTTTCTCAATTCGAAACAACTAAACTCAGCATTGCCTCGACAGTCTCAGCACGATCCTTGATTCTCTTTCGTTTACCCCTGATACGTGACTGAGTTTACTCGTTGTCTGAGAAAAGTTCTCTCGAAATAATCTTCGAAACTAGTGATACTTTCATCCCATACAATCGCATGAATTCGTTAAATTTTTAGAACGTATATTTCTTCTAATTTGTACGGGTGATAAAATTTATGAACAAAATATTATAACATCAGCCTTATAGTAATTATTACGAAGATGCAGAATTTAATTTTAAATTTCAAGAAAAGGAAAAAAGAAAAAGGGAAAATATTGTATAAATTTAGTGCAATATTATAGTCAGCTTGTCACTGCTTCATCATATTTGCTTTGATCGAGGAATATTAATTAACTGAAAGAGGAGTAATAATATGCGATATTAATACAGCAGAATATTCACATAAATATGGAATACCGTAATTTTGAGTAACGCTTTGAGTGACCTGTGATTTATACTGTGATACATACTGCACTTCAATTTTGCCCAGAATATTTGCAAAATTGTAAAATCGTATAATATCCCAAAAATATCAAGCTACATATACATATACATATCAAAAGTCCCTTAACACATTTCACATCATATCAGTCACCAGTGACTCACGCCAAAAAATTAAAATCCATTAAACACCACGTCTGAGAATTAAAAATTTCATCAATTCGTGGATTGTGGCAAAAGAAACGTCAAAAATGTGATCTAAATATTAATTCTAACCATAATAACGAAGCTAAATTTTCCCACATTCTATTCTTTCCGTAATGGCATCACGCGGCATAAAGTAGAATTAAAAGTAAACCACAGCCAAAATTATTCCCGACTGCAAATCGATATCGATCCATTGGCATATTCTAATCGCGAAGCATCGTCCTTGCTGCACCCGCATCGCGGGGGGGCCATTGTTTGGTCGTGCTGTGGTTCACGTGTCATTGAGCGCGGCATTTTTATCGAAGAGGAAGCGGGCACAAGGGTAGAATTTGCACGTAAATCAAAACGTTTCGCTCGCGCTCTGTTTGCCACGAGCAGTTGGAATCAATGCTGTCTGCTCGTCGGAATCGTTTCCACCGCTGTCATATCGGCCCGCCTTGCTCGTTGATAATTCGATCGACGATCTAATTCGAGGAAACGGAGGCCGCTGGAACGGCGTTCGCCGTCGTAACCGGATCACCCGGTTCGCTGGTTCCCGACTCGAGCCACCACGGGTTCCTTACTTTCGTCGCGACTGAAAAACGGCACGACGTGTTTCGTCGGAGTGCGAGGGAGGGTTGCCGCTTTAAAACTGTCGGCTATGGACTGGGTGCCGCTGGAACGGCTGCCTTTTTTCGCCCGAGAGACGAGTTAGGGCGGTCGGCGAGGGCGGAAGTCGCTCGTCGGACGTGGCACAGGTGACTCGAGAATCGGGGAAATTTTGATTGATGAGGGACGAAGACGCGGGGAACGGAAATTCGAGGGTCTGGATTTTTGGAGATTAGGCAGGCGTAATGAGATTCGTGAATTGGAGAATTGGAGAAAAGTGACTGGAGTGAAGTAAATTGATATTGATGGCGAAATCATACAGCTACTGGGTGTGTTGAATTTTTTCTCCTTCGAAATCATATATTTCGTGTTTTCTGTATTTTTGTGGAACGAAAGTTAAACTGAAGTTGGGTTTTGTTTGAGGATCCTGGAAAAACTAAGTTTTATTTAGTAATAAATAAATTAACAGAATTGAAAGAAATAAGGAATTACTATTAAATAAGAAAGAGGATATAATGATTTATAAATATAACACTGTATGAATTTGGAAATGGAGAATAAAATTGATTAATAATTGAATTTAATAATTATTTAAGCTTTATGTAAATTCCAAGTTTTGTATATTTAATTAATCGGAATTAATTATAAATATTGATTTACACTAAACACTTTTTCAGGTACATATTTTTTATTTAATGTTTATTCGTGATTAGAATTTTTTTAAAGAATTAGAATAACGCGAGGGTGGTTAAAGAATTTTCATTTCGCGATTGCTTGATTGTTACCAGGAACCGCAATTACCGGTAATTTCCATATATTTCGTTGAAACGTGAATAACAGCCGGCTAATTATGGTACCCCGAGCAATTACTTTTACGTAATCTGACCGCGTTAATTGTCATTTTTAACTGCTCATAATTCTTTTACGTACACGGTGAAAAATTATCCAAATTCCGAGGCAGAATAATTACGATCCATTTTCATGCTGAATATTGTAATGTTAATTTATCGAGACTGTTTTAAATAAAACAGAGAAGCAATTATTTAAAAGCTTTCCATTATTTTGGTACACAAAATGAACCTATATTTTTATAAATAGTAATATATTTACAAATTATATATAATATAAAACCGTAACTTTTACCTGTCTTAATGAATAATAAATTAATCCGATTTCTTATGAATTTATCGATATTTCCCTGCAACATAAGTCACCACTTTCAACCCTGAAAAATTTCTCCCGACTTCCCATCGGTGTCCATCGATCAGTCGTCTCGCGGAAAACACTCGTAGAATCGTTGAAGGAAAACTTAGACTGCTTCACGAGATAGGGGAGGCGAAATGGAATCGAAAAGGGAAACAAATGGGACAAAAGACGAGCACCAATAATAGCATGAATAATAGACGAGGTGGTCGACGACGAGACCTCGTCGTTTTTCGTGCCGGCAGCACGCAGTGATATGGGTCAGTGTTTGCAGCGACCGGGACGCTATTTTGAGGGACAAGTTGAGCAGGAGAATATAAATTTTCCGGGGCTCGTTTCATCCTAAAGGGCGGCGGATATGAATGGTCGCGCGTTCGATTCAAATTGAAATGTCTGTCGGACTTATTCCTTTCATCCGTGAGCCGCGTTTACAATGACGACGATGAGCATAAATAATTACAGTGGCTTCGAGTGTACCAGCGAGTTATGCTGCAAACGTATGGCTTTCGCTGGGGAAATTATTTTACTGCTCGAATCCTTCCTTTTCGAGTTTAATTAACGATCAACCCTCCTTCTTTTTCCCTATTGGGTAACGATTATGGCAGACGGTTCGAATTTATTGACAATTCTTGCTGGAGAAGATGAAGAATACTATGAAGGAATTTTTACTGTCTTTTTGTAAAAAATTGATTAGTCTTTGGAAAATTTGTCTGTTTTGAAGTAATTTCCATTGCATTTTGAAAATATAATTTTTAGAACAGAAGGAACTGTTTAACCCTTTGCATTCGAGAGGCTCCCCTCAGTTGCCATTTGTTAAAATTTCCAAGATCGATATTAATTAATATATCAAATTTAAGATAATGTAACGATATGCAAGGTATAGAAATCAAATAGTTCTACATGTTAATTATTATACAATTTCTTATTTACTGCTGGAAAAAATGTCGTTAACTTTATAGCAGAAAATCTTTGAACTCCTACTCATTTTTAGCCAAAACTTTGTCGAGTGCAAAAGGTTAATTGATATATAAGGTTATTGATATTATTAGAGCTTGGAAATGATCTATAATACAGTATAACATAGGAATACAGAAATTTCTAAAAATTTCGCAATAATATAATTTATTTTTAATAAATTATTATTAGAAATACTACTATATTTCTTAGTAGAAATACTTGATTTATCAATAACTTGTCTATACTAATCAATTCTGTGATCCATTCTCATTACTCTAAATGGTTAATTGTCAACAAAATTAATATCAATCGAAAATTTAATTATTTTCTATTTAAAAATTCAAGAACCTCCCAAAATTGACTAATATCGACTATATAACTCGCTATAAAATCTCATATTTCCAATATAAATTTGAATCGCGTATTAAATCCTACAATAATACTCTCACCTTCACAACTACGTAACGAAGACCCGTAAACCTATAATCTATCCTTTCTCCTCTTCTCCCGTTGGCCTAACTCGAAATCACTATCGCCGCCTAAAATACGGCCCCTATAAAACACGTCCCTGGTAAATACGAAATCTGACCATAAAGGTTATTGCGCTTGAAACAAGAATCATAGCGAATCGCTTCGAACGTTTCCCGGAATCGTTTTCGAAACATGGCGCTCCGGAACGACACCGTCCATAACCGCGGTCGCCAGATCTTTATCGCCGAGCGTCCGAGAGCGTCGCGACGCCGTGGCCGAGCCACTTCGGACGGTGTTCGTCGAAGATAAGAACTCGCTGGAATTTGCTCGACGAAGCACGAGCACGTGAAATTGGAAAGGAAAAGAGGAGGCGTCGCGACGCTGCGCGACTCTGCACAGCTTCCGCCCGTTTCCGTTTTCTGTCTTTCCGTGAATCGAGTTCTCCTGCACGCCACCCTTTCATCGCGACCCCGGCTACGACCCCGCGCAGCCTCTTGCACGATTTCCCGACCACGCTTTCTTCGACACTCGAACCGAATGGAACTGTCACCTCGTTTTTCAGGTGGACATCACCGAGCTGTGTCCGTCGGCCACGGTCCTGGCACAGCAATTGACCCACGTGGAACTCGAGAGGCTCTCCTACATCGGCCCCGAAGAATTCGTCCAAGCCTTCGCCAAGGTTTGTACAAATGATTTTCCCTCTGGACGTGACCCTTTGAAGCTATCATCTTCCTCGTTTCTCTTCCTTTTTAATCTCCTTCTCTTTTTTCATCTCCCTTTTGATAGCGATCCTTTGATCACATTATTCCATTTTTATTTTTGTTAATTAACGTAGGATTGTAAGTATATATGAATAATTTTTCTCGATTTTTCTCCTTTTTTAATCAAATTTTTCTCTTTCGCTTGTTTGGTTTTTTATTCCCGCTTTCTTCGTGATCCTTTGATGCTATGGTGTCATTCTTCTTTTCCTTTTTTAATTTTTTCTTTTTGTTAATTAATCCGTAATTTCGAGTATACGTGAGTAATTTTGACGATATTTTTTTCTTTTTTAGTAGACTCTTTCTCTCCTTTCTTTCATTTTTGTATTCTCTTTGAACGCGATCCTCGGATACTATTCTCTTTCTTTCTCTCTTGTTTTCGAATCTTGTTTTGGAATTTCGTTGTTAATTAATTTTTCGTGGAATTCTATTCTTAAGCAGGAATCACCTCATCTGGAAACATCGTTTAAGGACATGAAGAAAACGCGCAATCTCGAATCGTACGTGCAGTGGTTTAATAGACTGAGTTACTTCGTCGCGACTGAAGTGTGCAAGGTAAATTAAACAAGAATGCGTAATTTAGCATCGAGGAGAGTTTGCGGAACAATTTGTAGAGCGGCAATTTTTCTATCAAAGCGAAAGAAATTTCGATCGATCAAAATTCTAGTTTCGTAGTCGTGAATTTTCTAGTTTAATTTCACAAGCTACGATGTTTCACGATAATTAAACATCGAACAATTACGTTTACCACTTCGCAGCATGCAAAAAAGAAACAACGCGTTCGCGTGGTTGAATATTGGATCGAAACCGCCCGTGAGTGCTTTAACATCGGCAATTTCAACTCCCTGATGGCGATCATCGCTGGCCTGAACATGTCTCCGATATCTCGTCTGAAGAAAACGGTGAGTCATATTTCACTTCATCTTAAATAGAAAAGTGACAAATGGAATTTCGATATCCCGCATACTCTGTACCAAAAATATTTAATATCCGGCTTTCGAGTGTTACATACCACCAAATTGAATTATTTTACTGAAAAAACAAAAAATATTAACTGATAATATTATTTATGAATTACATATTTAAAAATATTTTATAAAACATTGATTATCAAAAATATGATATCCCAAAATTCTTCCAACAGAATAACTTGAGAAATCCATGCAAGGAAAAGCATAATTAGAATTATAAAAATAATTCCATCTTAGAAAGAAAAATGGAAAAGAAAAATATTTCTTTTTTAATATTTTTATAAAATTGTTGCTTTAACAAAAAGAAAATATATACTATCATTCGACTTTTCTCTCTAAATTCCTTTGCTATCGTATATTTTACCAAAACCAATATATAACTTACCCATTTCAGTTACACGTCTCAATCCCCGCATGCTACAATGAAATATTGTCAACCCTGTAGGGATGATTTGTAGGGATAATTGAAAAACTGTGTTTATTAAAAATAAATAGGTTAGTGATTATAAACGCTATAACTAGACACCTCTCAATAACCCACGCTATTCAGATTCTAACTCACTTACCCTCTAACCCAAACTGACTGCCATAAACTGCCTTTCTCATGCGCTGCCTTCGTCCTGACAACCCTTACACACGCATTCGCATACTCTCATACCTCATAAAACGACTACCCACACTTCACCTAAACCTAAGAAATATACACTCGCAAACTCCTTCCTCGCATCGTTCGCTGACGTCAAGACATACTTCATACGTCCACACTCCACGCACACTCGTCATCCCGCAACCCCTACTCTCACCCCAAACGGCGTCTACGAGTTACCCAAAAAGCTCCAGCCACTTCGATTACCTCGTAAAACAAAAATCGCTAATCTTCCCATTCACTTACCTCGTCAGCCAATGAACCCAGATCAAAGAGGGAAGCAATCGATCAAGAGTGACGAAAGTGCTGGACAAACAAAGTGATCGACTGCGATCCCTTATAGAAGGTTAGAGCTGAAATGATCGATGTCCCGGCACGGCGCAGGCACTTTTACGACGGCGGCCATCCTGTTTCGTTCTTCATCGAAACGACATCGACGACGTACGGTCGTGAGAGCGTTGATGGCTCGTCGGATCGGTCCACGCTCGTTCTCACCCCCGTGCATGGGGCTGCGCCAGGCAATAAGCGGTCTGTAATCCTCGTAAATCGAGCGTGGCGCCGCGACGACCAGCGTTAACCGTGACGAATCGCCGGGAATCGAATTTTCGCGTCGCCGGAGGAGTATTCCGCGAGAGGGTTGCGCGATGAGACGGGACGCGATGAGCCAGGGGGTGCGGGGGTATTTTAATTGAATTTTTACGTCACAGTTTCGCGTCCAGTCCGATTGAAATGTACATCAACGTCGAGTTAATTAGAAAGCACTGCGAGCTGCGATTTTTAATTGGGGCAGAGTCTTCCTCGCGGATGAACGCGCCGCGTTCTCGCGCGAGTTTCACTTTTAGCTGAGTGCAGTTGGCGCAGAGAAGGTTTAATGATGTGGCAGATTCATCTCGTTTCGGAATTTTTACGGATGGTGGCAGTCGACGGTGTTCGAAATTTATTTTAATTATTAAGGAAGTTGTGGCTATGGGAATTTGTGTAATTTTTTTGAAACTCTGTGTTTGTTGATTGTTTTCATTAGAGAATATACATTATCTTTTATTTAGAAGTTAGTTTCCCGCTTTTCGCATTCGAAATTTAATTTATCAACTTTATTGAATAATAAATTTTATTTATTTTTAATTAAAATCCGAGATTGTTCCTTACTCAAAAATTAGTTCTGTTTTTGGTGTTCAAAATTTAATTTGATTATCAGAGAATGGTACTAAATGTGGAAAATTATTATTTATTAAGATCGTCTTTATGGGGGAATAAATGTTAGCTCGTTCTTAATTTAAACCGGAAATTATGTTTTATTCAGGAATTAATTCTCCTATTTCCGGCATTCGATATTTCTTTAGCCCTTTGCACTCGAGAGGCGCCTCTCAGTCGCCATTTAATCAGATTCTAAAGATGGATGTTAATTAATATATCAAATTTACAATTATCCAACGATGCGTGGAGTATCGAAGTAAAATAATTCTACGTCTTAATTTGCATACGATTTCTTATTTACCGTTTTAAAAATATCGTCGACTTTATGGTAGAAAGTTTTCGAATTACTATTTTCCTGTAACGAAAAAATCACCGGGTGCAAAGGGTTAATTATCGTGAAAGGGTGTAAATATCTGAATTTCACAAGTACATGCGCGTGTATTCGTCGAAACGTACCTATGACTATAAAAGCCGAATAAATTGTCACCGCTAAAAGCTAATTTCCAAATATCAACGTTAATTCGATTTGACGAGACGCCACGAGGATGAATCTCGAATAGTCACGAGATCGTCAGACATTTTTTGAAAAATTTTCGCGACGAAATAAAGTCGCCAGGTCTTGTAATACTCGTCGGGAAGCAAAAAGAAGGGAAATAACGTTTCAATCAAAGACGAATGAAATTCGCGCATAGTCGATGAAAACAAAGAATTCGGCGTTAAACAAAAAGCGACTGTGTCGCGGATTTATTGCAGAACGAAGAAAAACGAGGACATCGCATTCCGATCCGTGACGCTGGCGAAATAATCGAATCGCGCGTTGCTTGCAACGATTGCGTTTCCGCGAAGGGGTGGAAATAAATAAAAAGGGACGAGGAAGAAGGGAAAAGGGGGAAAGCAGAGCGAGCAGGGAAAATGTGGAAAAACGAGAAGAGAGAAGTCGATACATATCGCGCGACTTCCTGTCACTCTTTCACGATATTACTTCCTACAGCGCGGACGACTTCTTGCGTTATCCTGCTCCTCTTTCTCCATGCAATCCTGCACGAAATGAAAGGACTGCGCTTCAGAAGCAAAGTATAATAGACTGTTCAATCTGTCGGTCGTGTATTTATCAAGCGATTATTTCAAAAAATTCCTATAAAATGTTACAAAGATGGAGAATTGGAAAATTCTGTTTTCGAAGGATGAGAGTATTGTTTGACATTTAATAGATTTATTGTTTTGTGGCTTTATGGTTCCCTTTCAATAGGAATGCAAGATAGGTATTTGAATAGCGAGATTATGAAGTATTTTCTTTTTCATTGTTTTACGAAATTTTAACCATTTTATGTAACACAGGACATTTTATGGTAAATTCGTTTATACATGAAGATTGAAAAATATAATATCGGACTTGAAAATCATTTACAAAAATGGAGACAACTATATTGAAAATGGTTTTATGGTTTTGTGATTCCCTCTGAATAGGAATGCAACATAGGTATTTGAATAGCGAGATTATAAAATAAAGTATTTTCTTTTTCATTGTTCTATGAAATGTTGACCATTTTATGTAACACGGAACATTTTATGGTGAATTCATTTGTACACGAATATTGAAAAATATAATATCGGATTTGAAAATCATTTACAAAAATGGAGACAACTATTTTGAAAATGGTTTTATGGTTTTGTGGTTCTCTCTGAATAGGAATGCAAGATAGGTATTTGAATAGCGAGATTCTAAAATAAAGTATTTTTCATTGTTTTATGAAATGTTGACCATTTTATGTAACATAGGACATTTTATAGTAAATTCGCTTACACATGAATATTAAAAAACATAATATTGGACTTAAAAATCATTTACAAAAATGGAAGCAACTATTTTAAAAACGAAAAAACTGTTTTAAATTTCTTCAAATTATTTATTTATTATTCATTAACCAAGAAAAATAATTGTTCGATATTGTTTAAAAATTGTTTATTATGATCAAAAAAGCTCGAACGTTTACCCTCGTTCGAATCAGTGATCAGTGTTTAAAACTCAGCTTCCTTAAAATTACGCAAATGGAAGTTAAACGAATCGCGATGCAACCCCTTGCGCACCGGTATTCGCAATTATCGGATAAGCGATAAATTCCAATTTTGCTCTCCTCAAATGCTTATTCGGTGAATTAACAACCGAATTTCATAAAAATAACCGTATTCTCCGATACTTCCGTGTCACGGACAAATCCCGCGCACAACCCCAATGCTATTTACAGGGATTCACGATATAGAGACCCGGCATAGATACCTAGAACCGGTTACCTGAAAAATATACGACGCGTTTCGGATCGGACTTTTTTAAACAAGTCATCCGCGTGTCCGTTGACGTTTTATAGACCCTCTGGATCCGCTGTAAATGGTGTTCCGGTTCTGGAGAAACGGTAGAAATAACGCGAAGAAGGTTAAAAATGACTGCACACCCTCGTAACAATGGTATTAACAGAGATTCCCACGATATCGTATCGACGAACCGATTTAAATGGAAATATTTCCCTGGCGATCGTGCCGCGATCCCGTCGCGGGGATTGGATTAAACGATCGCGCTAAAACGGAACGGCCATTATGATAAATAAAATTAAATTTTCCTGCATTTTGTTTGATTTTATTTGTATTTTTTTCCTCTCTTAAATTCGCGGCCGGATTTCGCGTCGTTCCGGTCCATACATAAAAATGTCCATAAATATCCCGGCTCACCGGGCTGTTCGCAATAAAAAGGTCGCGGTGAATGTATCCACGCAAATGAATATATGCCACGGTGTGACGTAATTAACATGTCAGGTTATGGTTATCTAGCTGCCACGGAACTTGTATTTCCGTCGCGTTTCCAGGATAAAAGAAGATCGACCGGATTAAAGGAATAGTTATGATGCTGGGAATCTGAGAATTTACGACCGGGTGCAGATGAGAAATAATATTAGATATCAAAGGGTGCGGGGTTATAAAAATGGCTGGGATATAATGGAACTTTTCCGGGAATTTTGTGCACGTCGTGCTTGAGTACCTCGTTTTCTGCTGGGAAATATTTCCAACGAGAATTAGCTCGTTGCACAAATTATATCGT